GAATTAACGCATAAAAACAAACCCATTTAAACTTGTGGGGGAGATTCACAAACAGTGGACTGCAGTCAGTGCTTCAAGGACCACCATGCAGATGTATGCATCACATGTGTTTTGGCTGTCGCATTCATTGTGTCAGGTCACTCCTGATCAAGACAGCATCAGAAACGTATCTGGATTAAAGACCTAAAGGACTAGACTGCTGCTTAGTGATGAAAAGAAAGTTTCTGATGAAAGTAAACTGTGGAACTGTGCATCCCAGGGTCTGGAGATAGAGAGGAGAAGCACAGAATCATTGATGCTTCAGTTCCATTAGCTGACATTTTAGAGTTTATCTTAAGATTATTTGTTTTTAAGTCTTTAAATGGCTCCGCCCCTCCTTACCTCTCTGAGCTTCTCCACCCCTATACTCCCACTCGGTGCCTCAGGTCAGCTGAACTGCTGCTCCTGGAGGCACCAAGGTCCAAACAGAAGCTTAGAGGAGACGGAGCTTTTCCAGTTGCTGCTCCAAAATTGTGGAATGAGCTCACCCGCTTAATAAGACAATCCTCTTCAATGCTTATTCTTAAAACTCATCTTAAAACCTATTTTTATTCTTTGGTCTTTAAGACTGCATAAGACTCTCTCTGTTTTTGCATTTGTGGTTTGTTTTCTTTAATCTGGTTTTATTTAATCAATTTATTTTATTATATATGTTTTACTCATTTAAACTTCTATGTTGTTTTTATACAGTTTTAACTTTACCTGATATGTATAGCACTTTGTGGCAGCCGTGGCCGTTTTTAATAAAGTTAAGTTGAGCTAAATCAAACTAATTTACAGCGGCCGTTGTAAAACTGAAAACTCTGAGTTCCCAACCTTGGGATCAATTTAGAGTAGCAGATTTGAATCACCTGCTTATTGAAACGGACCCCAGGTTTCAACCATCAACCTCTTGATTTGAAGTAAAAGCAGAATGTGACAGTTCACGGTTGTCCATGTGGGATGCGGAAATTGTGGGGGAGTTTTGAGATTTCCAATTAAAAGGCATCTGCATATTTCTAAGTCAGGAGTCTTCCAGTCTATGGCAGTATGTTTTAAATACAAAAACATAGAGTTTGGACCCTTGGGAAGATTACATTTATTATGTTTTTTCAATCAAAACAGTGACATCCATGTTTCAGTTAAGCATCAGTTGTAAATCTCTTTAATCCAGATAGTTAACATTTAATTATTTCAGCGTTGTACTGTGAGCCGGTCAAACTGCAGCTGTTTTTTTGTTTGTTTTTTTCTCAGTTAACATGAAGATTACAGCAGCCAGCTCTAGAAATCCTGTATATTCAACTGTACCTGCCATGAATCATATCAGTTTAAATACTTTAAGTTTCTGGGTTTTTTGTTGTTGTTTTTTTAGATACCTGCCTCCTATGTGAACAGGAAGCTCTCTAGTCACCACACATACTCCTACACAACACATCACAACCCATTTGTGAACTTCCAAACATGATTAGACATGAAAGAAGTTTTCGACTCTCAAACACAAGTCCGACAAATTTCATGTAGTTAAACCAATCTTGTATAAACCCCAGTGAGCAGGCAGGCCCACACTCATGGAGACTTTTAGATAAATAGCCATAAACACGACCCTTCTGGCATATTGAAAGTAAATATTCAAACAAATTGATACACACTGACATGTTCACCTACGGCACACGCATACAAAGTGAAACAGGGACGACGACGTACAAAGCAATCCCATCCCAACGCGGAGAGACACAGACAGAGAAACACCCAGGAGCCTTGATGAATGACAGCTGAGCTTTCAAACTGACAAGAAGAGGGGATGGGGGTGATGGGGGGGGGGGACAGCTAGCCGAGCATGAAATTAAAGCCCCAACTGTCAACCTGAGGACAGTCAGCAGAACAACTTGAGGGCGGCTGTGTTCGGAAGTGTGTGACAGTGGCAGAGAGAAGGAGATGGTGGCAGCAAAGCCCCTTTCAGCGGAGACAATGGGCCGAGTTCAGAGCCGCTGCCGCTAAACAGTTACATAATGTTCAAAGTGTCACTGTCGCTCTGTCAGTTGCAAGAGGAACAAAAACAAAATTTAAAAAATGTCATAACTGTAAAGCATGGAAGTGGAGGGTTGTTGGTTTGGGCTTGTTTTAAAGGAATCCCTTTTAAGCAAATCTCTCAAGCTGGAGAACATTTTCTTTTTCCCCTAAAAAAAAATGCCACCATCTCTTTGGTTTTTAAAGTTACATTGAAATAAACCAGAAAACTAAATTAGCTGTTTCATTTGGACCGGTGAGACCAAAGCAGAGATGCTTGTTTATAATAAAAAAGGTAATTTAGGAGAATAGGTAAAAAAGCATGAGCACAAACACCACATGATGGTTGAGTGGTGATGATCTGGGCCGTGACAGCAGCTTACAGAGAAATGAT